CCAGAAAAAAACGATAAAGGACTTTTTTCTAGCTTATGAAATTTCCCCCAAAAAAGTTCCTCTACCCCTCCCCGACAAATGGACAGTTCTCGATATAAATTGATAATTCCCGATTTTAATTCCAAAAAACCCTCAATTAACAGTTCGTCCCTGGGGCCCTGGAAGGCCCTCCCCCCTGGCTATGCGCCGGCGCACAAATCGGGAGTTCAATTGACCAACCACAGATCATCAAATTCTATAATCAAATTATATTAAAGTTGGCAGCCATTGGCGGGATGTCACCGGCTTCTTGCAGATTAGGAAAAATCCTCAAATCGTCTCGATCCCTTCGAGTCGCCGGTCGATCGCTCGATCTTCTCCGCGTCATTCCATTCTACCCCATTCCCAAACCATCAATTTTGTGTGAAAAAAAAATAAAAATCCCCATTAATTGTCTCAAGGATTCCACAGATTCTGCGAAACATTTTCGATTTTTCGTTTTGACGAGTGAAAAAAGGTGAGACATCCATTTTATCTCCATTGTTTCAGGCACGTGATCTTCCAATGCAAAGAGAAAAGTAATTTATTATTCGATTTATTCAATTAATTAGTCGGTTTTTATTAATTGAATTGATAATTCAACGTTTTTAGCATGAAAAATGGACTTGAGACGATTTTTCGATCGCTTTTTGTCACGGGTTCTGGGAATCGAAACGTGAAATCCATCACGTGAATAATTAGTGATTTTAATGTTTTATTTAATTAATTGCTATGATTTTTGATGATTTTTAAATGTGAAAAATCATTGATTTTGCGTGGAAAATCTGTAACCGTGGGAAAATTATTTGGAAATGACTTCTAATGAATTCACCACCTGATCATATGGCAATCGGTTTTTCCCGTCCACTGGGATGTATTTGTTTTTTCATTCCTTTGTCTGATACCCTAGAGTTGTTTACATCGAGTGTAAATGCCGTCTCAATTTTCTGAGTAAATTCTTTGTTCTCGGGGACCCAGTGCTGCTTCTATCGGTGATATATTTCAATTTTATTTGCCTTTTTGTTTTTCTGCCTCTCAAGGTTTATTTGAAGAAAATGGCTGACGACTGGGAGGACGAGCCTACCTTTGACCCACCAAAAAATACGTCTTCGGTAATTATTATTTCTTGTAAATTTTTACCAATTCATCTCATGATTTTTCAATTAAGACTCAATAATAATTATAATATTACCATTAATGTCTCAATAATTGAAAAATTAACGATTGAAATGGAATTATATTCACAATAATAAAATGATAATAATTAATCATTGAATTATTAATGATTAATTAGCAGAACTAAATATTTAAATTCTATTTATTTTCCTGTATTATGAAAATGCCGCAATTTTCCAGTTTTCTGAAGGCAAGAGCTTCAGTCGAGGTCGAGGATACTCAGCCCCAAGTGACACAAACGACGACTGGAATTCGGGTGAACAGAGTTTCCAATCCAGTGGTTTTGGTACCGAAGAGGACAGCAACAACGACTTCCGAGGTGATTCACATAGTCGAGGTCGAGGTGGCCGAGGCCGTGGCAGAGGAAGAGGTCGTGGACGTGGAGGTCGCGACGGTGACGAGGGACATCGTCGCTACGACGACAACGAGAATGGTATCCAACGCGACGACGACGACAACAAGGAAAAAGACGAGAACGGAGAGACAAAGCCAGCTCCAGTGACGTACGTCCCCCCGGAACGCAACGAGGAGGATCTCTTCGCCCCCCAGAACACAGCAGGAATAAATTTTGATAACTACAATAGCATCGAGGTGAAGATCACAGGGGACAATCCAGTGCCACCAGCTCATGGATTCGAGGAGATGGGACTGAGGTCAATTCTCATGGAGAACATCAAGAAATCGGGGTACATCAAGGCAACACCAGTCCAGAAACACGCCATTCCCAATATAATGAGTGGTAGAGACCTGATGGCCTGCGCTCAGACTGGTTCAGGGAAAACCGCAGCTTTTCTGATACCAATAATTCACAATCTCCTGGCAGACCAGCGCGAGAGAGTCCTGACGGATCGTGGATGTCAGCCCCAGGTCGTCATCATGTCACCAACTCGAGAATTGACCGATCAAATCTACGGTGAGGCCCTTAAGTTCTCCAAGGACACTGTCTTGCAATGCGCAGCTGTTTATGGTGGTGTCAAGACATTCCACCAAGGGGACAGACTCAAACGTGGAGTTGATATTGTCGTGGCAACACCTGGACGTCTCAATGATTTCGTCAATCATGGGAGAATTAATTTCTCTTCTATCAGGTTTATTGTTCTTGATGAGGCTGACAGGATGCTTGATCAGGGATTTTTACCTGATATGGAGAAAATTCTTAATCATCAGACGATGGTGCCATGTGGACAGAGGCAGACCCTCATGTTCTCGGCGACATTCAGTGGAGATGTCCAGAAACTTTGCGCTCAGTATCTCAGTGAGTATCTGTTTTTGACTGTGGGTATTGTTGGAGCTGCCAGCAAGGACGTGGAGCAGAGCTTTTATGAAGTGGAGAAGAGGCACAAGAAGCCGAAGCTCAAGGACATCGTGCGGGAGGCTTTGAATCAGGAGGCTGAATACGATTACTCGGTGAAGATTCTGGTCTTCGTCGAGACTAAGAAAAATGCTGATTATATTGCGGCTTATCTCTGTGAATCTGATTTTCCAGCTACTAGTATTCATGGGGATAGATTGCAGGAGGAGAGGGAATTGGCTCTTAGGGATTTCAGGACTGGGAGGAAACCTATTCTGGTGGCTACCAGTGTTGCTGCTAGGGGTTTGGACATAAGGAATGTCACTCATGTCATTAATTATGATCTGCCTAAAGCTGCTGAAGAGTATGTCCACAGAATTGGGAGGACTGGACGTGTTGGGAATAAGGGCAAGGCATTCAGCTTTTTTGATCCTTCTCAGGACACTGCTCTTGCGAATGAGCTTGTGCAAGTTCTTGCCAATGCTGATCAGCCCATTCCCGACTTCCTGGGAGGCAATTCTGGACAATTTGGCGATGCTGGGACTGACAACGCCTTCGGGGGCTACGATATTCGTAATGTGAGTTGTCTCTTTTC